CTAACGACCTGGTTTGGTTGAAAGTTGCTTCCATTGTTTAAGTCTGTTTGTGTGAAACACAACGGCAAATCTACGCACCAATCGCCTTCAGTAATCAGGATTGAACACGAGTGAAAAACTTTCTGAACTTTCTTCAACAGTTTTCTTCCAAGTCTAACCAATTAAATTAAAGTAGAAATGAACAGTATATATCAAATAAATCAAGACATTAAACTAACTTAGAAAGGTAATATATAATGAAAAGCTCTTTGGGAAATATTCAATTTGTAACGATGAAGAGAACAAGACAAGCCGGAGACATAGATTTAGAAGAATTTAAACATCCATAAAGTTGAACTATTAAAGGACTCATTGACGGTTATGTAAAGTCAGTTTAAAGAGATCTTATGTTTTCTAGTATGAGTTTCAGGTCTTGATTTGTGATTGAATTTTGCTCGTAAGGAGTTGAGCAAGGACACTTTGACACTTTTTATGGCTCACTGTTTCGATTGTCTGCTTTCACATTAGCAGTTTAAATAGTGTCAAAAGATATTAATTGAAGAATGACATTAAATCTTGGAAGAAGACTGGCTGTATTGAATGAGAAATTATCAATCAATGGTAGAAAAAACTTTTACTGCTTTGGGCATCATTATTTATAGAGATTTTTAGCAGTCAATAGACCATTGTAAGATCAATGCTCCACAATTTCATCGGATCGGCTTTGAATTCAAAATGATCGATTATTGAGGGCCATTCTCACTTGTTGTGCAATGAACCGCGCAAATAGCCATTGCCGTGAAGGCGATGTTCTTATATCTAGCGGTGGAAATGATTTGTCTCCTATTGACACTTTAAGAAGGCGGAAGACCCCAACTACTCTACAAGTGAATAGGCCCACCTGGAAACTACGCAACTTCTATCTTTCTCTTTCTTCTAAAAGACGAGCAAGAAGTATATTTTTGATTTTTATCCTCTTACTAATTGCGTACACATTATTGCTACTAAAGAATGCAAACTTGAAAGCAGACTTAAGGTCAAAGGATTCTTCATATGCTACACCTAAGGAGCCTTGGTCTTTTGACGGTGCTAAGACTTGGTTTTCCGAAACTGCTTCATTACAGAAGAGACGTTCCCTTTCAACAGAACTGCAAAAGTCTTCGAATACTAAACAACCAGGATATGAATTTGCTGGCAATACTGAAGAAACCAAAGAACCTCCAGTTCCGTTTATCCAGCTGTGGAAACACGTCCACCATGACATTACTATTTGTCGAATATTCGGAGTTTGTGTAAGCTCTAATCGCCTCCATCTCTTTCTCAATAGTAGCAATATGAAAAAACAGCTTGAATATTGTGGTTTAAAACAACAGTACTATGACAGTAGTGGATATGAAGAATGGCAGAAAGTGGTTTCAATTGCCAACTATCTACGTCATATTGACAGAGATTTGGTTGCTTACATCCCCTTGAGGACACATATGCCTCACTTTATAGAAGATATCACACCATTCATTGCTTTCAAAGATATTTTAGAAGGGCAGAGAACAACTCTGCATGAGATGCCCTTCCACAAGAAATATTCATCAGAAGGCAACTTCCCAATGGTTGATTGGCAAAAAAGCAACTATGGCATCAATCCTTTCTTTTTGTTCGATAATTCTGGTTTTCATCGTTTCAATGGAAGTTGGACACAAGACTTTCTTGCTTTACTCCTTGGAAAGGTTGACTTGTCGTCTTTTGTTGAAAGCATTAATATCAACGCTAGCATGAAATGCTTCAGAAGCGTAGTAACAGGCAAAGGCTCAGATGTAAAATATCTTTTGAATAGCGAAAATTCCTTCTTTAAAGTGAACAATTTGAGAAAGGAGGCTAGAACGGCTTCGTACTGGTGCGAGAAACCAATTCAAGTGACAATATTGTCACGAAAAACAAACAATGCCAGGACTCTGGTAGGAGCGGATAATTTTGCAGAGAATATTCGTAAACTTCAAGTCACGAAGGAATCCACACAAGACAAGAAGACTTGTCACATGACATTCCACTGTCAAATCGTTTACTTTGAAGAAATGACATTTTTGGAACAAGTTTCGATAATGCAGAAGACAGACATTCTCATTGCAGTACATGGGGCTGGAAATACAAATATCGTGTTTCTTCCAGAGAATTCGGTTCTCATTGAAATTTATCCTTTTGCTTACAAGGCTAATATTTTTGAAGAATTAGCCAGAAAATATCTTCTTAGATACGACTTTTTAATAGCAGAGCCAGATACTAAATCATTCAAACAATGCTTGCAAAAAATCACACGTTCGCATCCGGAATTTGAAGTGAAGGCGAAAAGGTTAACAAGTCAATGGGATGCTGCTGTCACAAAGTTTAGAGAGGGAGATCATTCTCATCGCCTCAAGATGGAGAATCCTAAAGTGAGTGATCTCGTACCTTCAAGCAGAGTTTGTGCGAGAAATCAATCGCTGAACATACCTTGGAGGGATCTGTGTAATGTAATACAGAAACAAGTTATTCAAAGTTTGTGAACTCAACCATAACATCAAGTCGTATCGTTGATAATGTAGATTCAATTGACAATCGTGACGATAAAAGCTCAGAATGCTACAAAGAGACGGTCATCTTAGCAGTTGATATAGACTTTAAGGATCTCATATCCTATTTTGTAAGAGTATATGCCACAAAGGCTTCTCTGATTCCTACAGGTGCCTTACACTGTCTGTAATCACTTGTATAGTTAGAGTTGTAAGCAAGAGAATACATTAATAGGAAATGTAACTTTGCATCAATTTAATAGTAAACTATGTTATCAATATACTTGCATATCGTTCTAATTGAATACAAGATGGTTTGTCTGTAAAAAATACAAGATTGTAACAGACTATTGAAACCGCCTGAATACTTTGACAACTTGTTTAAAGATCTCAAACTAACAGTGGCTTCTACCGTGAGAACTATGATATCATTGAAAATCTAAAAGCCATTAAGAGGTTTGGTTCCTCTTCGAAGAAGTCATAATAACAATTGCAGTTGAGTTTCTCCAAAGAAAATACTAAAGCAGACAAATACTGCTTCATGACTGGGATCGAATATGAAGTCTCCTCAAACACTTGATTTCCTCTTCTCTTTCGTGTATTGCTTGAACTGTCTTTCGGTACTCCAGAGCAATAGAATCCATTTCATCTCTGTTTCTCATATATTTCTCAAGAGCTGACTGAATTTTGTCGTGCTCGCTTAACAGCTGTATAGAGGTTAGCAACGCTATTACATAACAAGCGATGACTTGCCTTGTTATACTTAATGTTAAGATATTCTTTGTTTTGGCTCAATTTTCTACGGCTGTTTGTATCGTAAATATCTACCAAGACTTTTTCTCTCAGTAACTTCAGCTTGAAAAAGCAATTTTCCACTTGAAGGCAAAGTCTTTTTATCTTGAAGATCTTCAAGTCGAAAGAAGATATTGCTTCTTTGTTCCATTGCTGAAGTAAATCTTTCAAGTCTTTGAAAATCTGAGCCAAGGTGTATAAGGATTGGTAGAATGCATTGGTAGATTGTGCTTTCGTATTTTCATAGACAGCGTAGCTTTCTTTGATACATAAGTCTATACGTCTACGACTTTGAGAGAGTTCTCCTTTGTTATTCGCCGAAATCTCAACGTCCAAGAGTTTTCCAAGGTTCTCACATAGGCTTCCGGTTTTGTCAACAACGCCTTGTTTTAACAACTCTGCTTGTTGTCTTGTCAGCATGAATGGAGGGATTTCCTCGTTATTCATTTCATTAAATAGAACACTTGTATTGATATTAAAGAGATAGGAAAAGTCAACTTGTCTTTCTTTAGGGTCTATATTGTATGTTGAAGAGTGAGGCTCAAGTTTGTCTTGACATAGCTCTCTACATTGCTCTGAGAGTTTCTCAGCTACTATTTTTCCTTGAAAGTACGAAAAGGCCTTTTCAATAAACTTTTTTCTAGCCTTGTAGATTGATTTTAGCTTCTCTGTGAAAGGAAACTTTTCCATCCTACCAAGAACAGGTCCATTTCAACATCTGCAGAGCTAAGGTCGGCGCTAAGGTGATCGTTTATAAAATTTTCCAACTCCGAAAGAGTATTTGAGCTACTTCCATCCTTCCCTGTTAGGAAATTTAGCTTCCTTTCTACACTTTGCACCTGGTTAAATGGGGTTAAACTTTGAACAAAGTCTTCGATGACTGCGTCTTTAACTGCGGTAGGTAAATTCATGTAATTTGAAATTTCAAATACATTCTGCCTTTACCTTTGGATAATTTACGTCCCATCGTAGCAATAGTTCTTAATAGTAAGAAATATTTGTCATTATTCCTTCATGGTTTCACTCCATTAAACACTTTTTTAAAGCTTAGTAATACTGCTTAGACATGAAAGTGAGACATACAATGTATAGTCAACTAGATCAATCCGTAAGGCTGACTACATGACATTTATTATGTCGGCTTTAACAGAAGAAAAGAGTATAAAAAATGGTCACAACTAAAAAGTTCGAATTTGTTAAGCGGCATCGCCATTTCTAATGAATATCTGTTGCATACGACACCATTGTTTCAACCTTGTGTACCTAAATGAAGATGAGTGCCATAAACTAAATATTATATGATACCATAATACTTTAGTTGTAAAGGAACGAAGCTTCACTTCTTTCTGATTGATAATGATCTTTGGATCCGATTCTTCCCAAGTTTCTGGTATTTGTACATCAACATCTGTGTAAATTAACATGTCAAAGGTGCAAGGTTCATCTAATAGGGGTAGAAAAGTAACGCTTGCAGTAATTTGTCGAATTACTGCTTGGATCTGAGAAACAATTTGCTGCTCATCGCTATCAACGTTACTGCCGAGTATTGAACAAAGATTGGACCAGCAGGAACAAACTTACCTATTATAATTATCTTTATTGTTTGTTATCTCTATGTTGAACTGCCAACGTTCCAAAACCCTTCCGGTTTCGACGCTACATATAACTAAGACCAACTTCTGTACTTTGGATTGTAAAGTCCACTCTAGAAAAAAGTATAAATCTGTTACTCTTTTCTAATAAGCTTCCTGATACCTTTTAGTTGTCCCAAAACTGAGTGCAGATACTTGTTAAGTTCATTGTCGTTAGTCACAAGAATCGTGAGTCCATACTTGTTGACTCTTGAAAATTGCTCTGCAGGATATATACCACGCTGGTAAAGTATACTGTTTACACTGTACACGAAAAAGTCAGATACTACTTCAGTTGAACCTCTTAGAGTCACAGAAGGTTGGCTTTCACTGTAAGACATGTTCACAATTTAAAGATTTTCTGTATCCAAAATTGAATTGACTCGTTGGCGCTTAGCAGAATCCCATTTGAAGCAGCCAACTGAGACACTGTTCAGCTTCAATAACTTAAAAAGGTCTTTCCATATGTGTTTACTTCAAAGAGAATAAATCAGTTCTGCTTGAATTCTAGTTATGTCATGTATCTATGCTAGCTTTTATTGTTCTCTCCAGAATTCACTTGAAGGGTTTAGTACCAGATAATTTTCGGTCCCAAGACATAAGGCTGTTATGTAGTAAATAAGAAAGAAGAAGATTCTAAGAATGCCTTTTCATTAATTCAGATACCTCTTACTTGAGGGAGGGGGTTTTCAACTCATTATCGTTCTAATAGGCTTCACCTTTTCATATTGACTCTTTCAACTGCGCAGACTGTGGTCTAAAGATGACTACATTAACAAATGCTTTATATATTCAAATAAAATCAGTCATGCTTTATAGCAAGAAAATAGTTTGATTGAGACTACTGCTTTGTAAGGACCATTAAGAGTAGACTTGGGCATAGAGGGAATGAAAGGCTTAGATGTATCCACCATATCCTCTGAATACTTTTTTTGTTCCTTTAGTTTCGTTGTATTGTGATCAAGATCCACTGAAAACTTGCAATACTACTGGTATCAAACCTTTTCAAGTCCACATGACAGAGCAACTAAATATGACAGCATAACAGAGCAATCGTATCCTTGCTAAGATAGGATTTCCCTTTGGTGGTCAATAGCGTCAAGTTGGAAGGCTTTCTTCATCATGGCTTTGTCGTCGTCGATGAACGTTTTCCGTATTGCTGGAGACCTTCTTCATTGCATAAGTATTTTCATTTTACTACATAAGATGAGGAAAACTCGTACTTGCACAGGTATTTGACTTGCACGTGGGTTGCCTTTGCTAAAGAAAATAAGGAATTTCAAGAAAAACTTTAGAACTTTATGCGATTGTGTTTTTAACTCGATATCTGGACTTGTTCACTGGAGGTTATTTTGATAGTGCGCTATCTTTGTACAACACAGTGTTGAAATTGCTATTTCTTGCGAGTACCTTTTATTGCGTCTATCTATTGAGGGTGAAATATAGACACACATACGATCGTTCACACGACACTTTTCGAGTGCCGTTTCTCTTGGGAGCAGCTGCAGTGTTGGCGTTCATTTTCCCTCAACGATATACTATTTTGGAAGTAAGTACAAGAAGGAGAGATCTGCTTGTTGTTGTTGACACCTGAAAGATTCTGTGGTCCTTTTCACAATACCTGGAAGCAGTTGCAATTCTCCCTCAGCTGTTGTTGCTTCAACGAACTGGTGAGGTCGAAAATCTCACTTCACACTATATATTTTGTCTTGGAGGTAAGAAGTAGTTGGTTTGGTCCTAACCGTGTATTCACACTGTATAGCATATCGTGGCTGTTATGTTTTGAACTGGATATGGCGTTTCTTTACTGACAGTACATATCGTGGACAGTATGTTACTTGGACTGCAGGCCTAATACAAACATCTCTTTATGCAGACTTTTTTTATTATTATTTGAAATAGTGAGTCAGTCTTTGGTTTGGTCTTTAATTGCTGAAGCAAAGCATTCCTTCTAGTAAGAAACAGGGTCGCGCATTGAAGCTTCCTCCGTAAATTCAAAATAGTGACAGACTGGAAAGTATTCGTAAACTTGCGGTTTATTTTTCACTTTCCGAGATTTGTAGTTCAAACTTGGCCTTTGTCTGCAAGTCACTATGACAGTGTTTCCATTCTAATACATAATCGAGGCAAATAGTTCCTTTTCAGTCGGAAGAAATAGTATAAACATTAAGCCCCACTCATTTGTTACAAAGTATTTAAAATCTACTTATCGGAATCTTCAGAACTGAATGAATCTCTAAGACCTTTAAGCGAACGTTCATTTTCTTCTTCCAGCCTTTCTATGATAATATCCAATTTCGTTAACATCATTTGTGGATTTTCAAGTTTCCTTGCTTCCCTTTGCTTTTGCACAAACTGTTCCAAACTGTCCTTCACATATCCTCCTATACAAGCCAAAGAACCTCCAAGACCAGCTGCAACCAGCCCTGTTATGTTATCATATTTTATGGCTCCAAATACAAGACTGGTTAGAGAACCTGCCACTGTCGTATTGATGAAGTCTTCCTTTCCTTCGCGAAACTTGCTGCAAATTATATCAGTTAGAGTAAAGATACCAGTAAAAACAGAAAATCTGACGCCATACGCCATAATTCCTCTGGTTACAAAATAAGTTGCTCGAGCGTGAGGATTTCGCGGCAAGTCTGGAGGAGAAGGTATCTTCAGATTCCTTGTATCTTTCCATCCAAACATAGCACCAGTGACCATCCCAGCAGTCATACCGTAACCTAACGATTTAAAAAATTTTTCAACTTCTTTAGGTAAAGGAGGTGGCTCTTCTGGAGTTCCTAAGTTTTCCCAAAACTCTCGAAGGAAGGACTTGTCGGAATCACTCGCCATGCTCCAAGATGGCCCTCAAATCAAGACCTATCAGTTTCTTATACGTATCCAAAGGATTTTTTCATAGATTGAATGCCTCACTCTTGAAACTTGATTATTTCAAGAGACACAACTCCACTTATCATCTAACAGACTTCGTTTTCTAAACAATTCATTTCATAGAATGTATAGTGAAATTTGTTCGAAATACGTGAGAGATGTTCCTGCGAATGAATAAGCAACAACAATTGTGGAATTCCAACAATTTCCTCAAGAGTCAATAAGAAATAACTGAATGTATAGTTTATTTTGCAAGACATGGTTCGATGCTGCACTCAACATCTCATCATCTCTTCTAGACAAGTAGTCTATCTATCTCTATCAAAATTCAAGGAACACAGGAAGACCTCTTCTACGAACGCAATGGTGAGTCAAATGAGAGCACATTGCAAGAATGTGTTGTAGAAATGCCTTCTGATAGCTGGGAACTCTGCTGATGAAAGATATCTAAATGCAAGTTGCTATAATTACATTCGTCTCAGATAGAGGACTCACTTTCCTTTATTGAAGACACTTCATTAAATTGTACATTGGAAAAAATAGAAGAACAGCATCTCAAATAGTTACTAAATTTACACAAAGCTTTCTTTCCAACAACAAGCTGTGAAAACATATCAAGTAGACATTGTTTCTTAATGGCTTACATATGAACTGGTTTGCTTTCATATTTCTCATCGGACTTTAGAATGTATAACTGAAAGTGCCCCCTTCCATCACTCACTAATCAAGCCTCCTCGACGAGCTACCGAAGTAAATTAGACTCTTGTGACTAAAATAACGAGTTTCAGTGAATGGCTTCAGCTTGTCTTAAATATATCCAGCCTGTGAAAATGCAAAGAGTCCAACTAGTATCACATAGAAACTTCCGTTGCTGTGTAGCAATTAATGTTAGCGTCCTGCTAATCCAACTCGCCTCAATCCTTAGCAAGCATAGTAACGAAAAATACATTGACCATTGTGTCATTAAAAACCTTCAACTTCAAAAGTAAAACAAACTCAAAAAAAATGAATCATTCAATTCGATTCACACTGAAGGCTTCCCCAATGAATAAGTGTTACTCGAAATAGAAGAATGCTCCTGCGATTCTTCAGGTAAAACTTCAAGGTCACTATGGTCAAATTTATGCTGAAGTAGGCGCGACTTTAGCTGGTTGAATCTGCTTACAGGCGAAATGGGTATTTCAAGTCTATCTGTATCTTTCCATCTATTTCTGGGATAACCAAGTGCTCTTCTATATAAACGATCCCAATATCGACTTTGACAAGCCGCAGCATGTGCAAAACCTTTTGACACCTCCCATCGATCTTCCCTAGTCTTACAAACCGTACAAATTTTTTCCTTTAGATAGCCATACAACGGAGTTTCCAATTCTGAACCAAGCTGGTAGAAAAAGTACTCTCTGGGTGACAGTCTCGTATACTTCTTGAACGCTTCCAGAATATACCGATATACTGTGTGGACCACTGGAAATGTTCGAATACTTAAAACACCTAACAGGAACAAAAAATTTTCCGACTCTACAAGTCTCCCAAATTCTTCTCCAAAATACCTGCCAACGTTCACTTGAGGAAGCATTGCTAACCCTTCCGATCCTGCCTCTCGTTCAAGTGCTTTCAAGAGTCTTCCAAACAAATCTTCATACTTTGCGTCCACAACAGAAATACTCCTTTGCTCAAGGTTAATGAGTATGGGCGCTGCCTTTGGGGTTTCCATTCTAATTGCACGCAAAGGTTGAGTTGCTGCATATTCTTCGTCTGCACAACCTCTAGCTTCTTTAAAATGATTATGAAGCGCCGACTTCTGCAAAGCATAGTCACATAAGGCCAGCAACACATTTGGTAGCGTTCCATCTCTCATTCCATGAAAGTATGGATGGTCTGCTGCACGAGAACGACAACCAATATTCAGCAGTCTGTCGTAAAATTCTTCTGTTGTGGAGCATTCCAGGATCTTTTCTTCCTCAACTTGTTTTAATACTGCCAGTATGTCATCCATCGTTTACGGACTTGTGCTCCACTAAAGGCCTGTCTTCCATTTGGCCCACATAATCATTCGGAATGAATTATCGCGACCGTTCCAGAGACATTGGCATTGTAAGCTTTCCAAGTCTTTCATTTTCATTGCTGCACTCTCGACCAGTAAAAGGGAAAAATAGATACTTTTGTTCAGTGTTTTTTAAACAAAGTCTTGTATAAACCATGTTTATTCATCGTAAATTGGACCAATTTGGCTGAGCTCTACTAAAATCTGAACAACACCCAAATTTTTGATATACCATTATCAGTAACTTATGAACACTCATCTTAGAAACCACTTTTGATTTAAAAAAAATATTTGTGGCTATTCCACCTATCAGCTTGCATACAATTTCCGTTTAGAAACGACAACATCTCTTGGGCTGGTCTTGAGTTCAATTTGCCGTTTCGTCATAAAAAAGCCTTTTCCCTATAGATTTCTACTCAAAGAGATATATTTATCGATACGGACTCGTTTATTTGAATCGAAATGGCTCTATGTATGTATGGAAAGGAAGCAAAACAATGTAGTTTCCATGAAACAGAGACGAAGGAGGAAGCTGACACAATAGGACACCTTGTCAAAAGAGAGGATGGTCTTCTAGTTTGATGATTGTATTTAAGACAAGTTCAGAACGGAATCCAGTAAAAGTAACATGAAATTTCCAAATTATGGTAACCATTCTTAGTCAAGCATCACCGAAAAGTATTTAGAATCCGGAATTAGTATAGAAAAAGAAAAATTAGTAGTCAAGATTTGGAGAAATTCGTCTCGATTGGAGCCATGCAGTGTCGGAAATGGTTGCTGAGTTTTCAATGTCATCAGACCAAGGTTCTTCGTCCTTTTCGTTCTTTGTGTATGGAGGCACACTTCTCTGAAAGACAAACTTATACAGATATTCTGCGCCTTTCATACACTGAGATTCCAGAAAAGCGCCCAACTTCAGTATCCAATTCTAAGCCTCCTGTTATCTTCCTCCACGGAGTATTGGCCTCAGGGACTACGTACCATTCAGTACTTGCAAGGGATAATTTTGGTATCCAATATTTTCACCTTGATTAATCTGGTTTCTAAATGAGTTGTTGTTCAGTTCCAGACCGTAGAGTGTATGCTCTTGACCTCCGAAACCACGGATCCAGTCCTCATTCTTCGGTTATGAACTATAAAGTGTTCGCTGAAGACGTAATTCGTTTTTTGAAGGATCATGGCATTTCAAGAAGCGTCATAATTGGTCATAGTATGGGAGGAAAGGTATCTTCATCCGAAATAACCAGTGAACGCTTTGTAATTTAGTGTAGGTTGGAATGAAAGTTGCCTTGGAATATCCACAACTAGTATCAGAACTCGTTGTGGTTGATTTAGCTCCCATCGACTATAGCGATCCGGTTTTTGTGAAAAATTTGCCGACAGACGCAATCGTTGCAATGTCCAAAGTAAACCCGGAGAGTTGTACTGAACGTTGGTAAGTCCAATTCTTATTCTTGTCCAGATGCACTGATGTGGATTGTTCATAGGCAGGTGGACGATTTGCTGAAACAAAATGGAGTTCAGAATAAGCGTGTGAGAGACTTCATTTTAGAAAATTTGATAGCTCATGACGTCTATCCTGGTCACTTCAAGTGGCGTGTGAATGTTTCTGCTCTCTTGAAGTCCATGGATAAGATTCTTGAATCTCCAGTAAAAATTGGCCAAGTATATAATGGACCTACTCTGTTTATCCGAGGGGAGAGATCCATTTACGTGATGAATTCAGCGGCTGAGAAAGCTATTCGGGATTTCTTCCCCAACGCTATTATAGAAACCATTGCAGGAGCAGGACATTGGTTAACAGCTGAAGAACCAGAAAAATTTTGTACAGTAGTGAACAACTTTTTATATAATACCAACTTGAAAATTAACTGAAATCTGTTTGTGAAGCTATTCGATTCTCTGGGCGAATTTCACATCCAGGACAGTTATTGAGTCCATCATGAATAAATATATCGCAAATGCCACAAAATATGTTTTGACAGTTTGGACACACAAAGTATTCAGAACCTTCAAAAGGAAATGTTCCTTTGCACGCAAAGCAGTAGTTTGGTTGGAAATGACTATCATGCATCATCTTCAGTGACTTTTATCTTTTCTCATAAAACTTACCTTTGCTTATATTTGTCTTCTTCAAGTTCATGGAAATTCGCAACGGGAAATAGATGATGATAAGACCTAGCGAGCTGCGAGCTTGACACTAGTATAAGGCCACATAGAACGCACTCTATGGGAATCTCTCCATAACAGCACTTCATGAATCTCTTTTAAGAGAATGCAAAAAAGTAACATGAAGTAGCTTTACTTACTTCACAACGAGGACAGACAAATACTTGATTTCTCAATACCTTGTCGTTGAGACAGACTTTCGGCTCCTTGTATGCCTTCAAAGTTGGAAAGCCCATACGAACCAGTGCAGTCTTAGTATTATTCTCTATTAACGCGGAAGGAACCACGAAGTCTTCTAACAATTCTAATAAATGACTTTCGTTCATGCAGACAAAGTAACTACCATGCGTTCGAGCTGCCAAATATTTGAGTATATACAATTCTGCAGCCATTCCTATTACATTACAGCGGATTCTCTCCTTTTCTAGCTTCTCTATAGTCTGTCTGATGTCTCCTGGATCACAAGAAGATATGGAGTTGTATAGTATCAACACCTCACGAGACCCATATGAAGGAATGGAGTGCAGCAGGCTCAAAGCGACATCCAACCCATTTTGTAAGGAACAGTTACCATAGAAACCTTTTTGGTTTGCATTTTTAACTACTTCCGAGTGTTGCCTAGGATTACTTCCCATAGAACTGAGCTTTTCTGCCACTCCATCTCGCAACACCACAACAGCCAACTGCGAGATGGGGTTTTCATTAAAGTAGCTATACAAGAATTTTTGTGCACAAGACAAGCAAACCTCTCCACGTGAAGGTTTCACGTCAGTTTCCTTTGCTTCACGAGACAAGTCCAAAATTAGAACAAGGAACCGAATAAGTCCTCTTCGTACGTTTTGCTGAGTGTTCTTACGCTTGCGCTTAACTCGGGAACGTTCAAAAGAGCTCAAATCCTTTATTTTCCCTGTTTCATCTTCTTCTAGAGTTTCCCACGAACGAACTATGTCCTGTTCCCAAGAGTACAGTGTTAAACTCTCTGGCTTTTCATCGTCATCCATGAAAACAAACGATCTCTAAAGGATTTGTTTTATTGAAGAATAATAGCATTTCAAGAAATTTGGACTTTCAAAGCTTAAACATTTCACAAAAACTTGCAAACAAAAATGAAGGTTCTTCTAAAAAGCTCATCTAGGATTGACATGTGTTTATATGAGAGAATAAAGGACACATCGGCAGTCAGTTCAGAGATGTTGATACAGCTAATGAAATTTTATTATCAAAAAAAAAAAAACTTTTCACGCTGTGATTTTATTATCGAAAACATTGGGCAATACTTATAGTTGCACTACAACAACAATGGAAAAATTGCGATAAGAAATCGTTCATGCGATATCACTTTTCTTTCTGTAGGCTCTTTGGTCTTCCGGGTCAGTGGAGAACATGTTTGTTGAAAAGAACACTTTCAATCCACTCCAAACTAGAAGCAAAACATACTATTAGTCCTTTTGCTTCCCTTGGAATAGGAAAAGAGTTACTTGCTTCTCTAGACGAGCAGGGAATCCACGTGCCAACGCAGATTCAAAACCGAGGAATTCCCAAAATACTGACAGGAAGCAACGTTTTTATTGGCGCTGAAACTGGCTCAGGAAAAACGCTTACTTTTTTGCTTCCTTTAGTTGAACTTCTTACACGTCAGGAGAAGTCGGGTCGAGTAGAACGACTTCCTAACCGACCACGTTGCCTCGTGTTTGCACCAACAAGGGAGCTTGGTGAACAAATTTGTAAAGTTGCAAAGAAACTTAGTCACAGAGCTAGATTTAGTTGTACAGAAATTGTTGGTGGTCGGTCTAGAAAGGCAGAAGAAGAAAGTTTGTCAGTACCAAGAGACTTGGTAGTAGCAACTCCAGGACGCTTCTTGGAACACAACCGAAAGAAGAACATTATGCTTAGTGAGCTTCGTCATATTGTTTTTGACGAAGCAGACTACTTGTTTTCGCGTCTTGGTTTTCGAGAAGAGACGAAAGAGTTCTTGTTGAATGTAGAAAGACACGCCGTCTTGAAGGATAGAAAGCCTCAGATGATAGGTACTGCAGCTTTGAAAACACTAGAAGTCGATTCGTTTTTTCACTATTATTGTCCTTCAACGAGCTTTGTCCTATCGGATAAACTGCACCAGCTGCCTTTGGAAGAAAGAGTCAGGTCCGAACCTCTTTATTTAGCGAAAGTCTCCGAGAAACGAACTGCTCTAGAGAAACTTGTCAAAGAAATTTCCAAAAATGAGGATTCGAAGACAATAGTCTTTTGCAATACTGTAGATTCTTGTCGTTTTGTTGATCATGTGTTATCTGGTTTGAATGAGAAAGGTGAATGTTTACCATCAGCTTGTTATCATGGAGAAATGCCTCCTAAAGAGAGAAGATCTAGTTGGATACGGTTTTGTGAGAAGGATGCTGGATTTCTTGTTTGCACTGATTTAGGTGCACGAGGTTTAGATGTTCCATCCATTGGAGCGATCATTATGTTCGACTTTCCCAAAACTGCAGCAAGTTACTTACACCGAGTGGGAAGAATTCGTAACGAAGGTGTTGTGTATAGTCTAATAACACATTCTTCTAGGAAACTTGCAGAGATGTGCCTTTCTGCACATGCTACGACGAAGACTACCAAAAAATTAGTACAAATACCCTAGATGCTGTGTTTTTATCTCGTCAGGCTTTTAGGCAGAACTCCTGAAACTCTGAGAACTGACCCTTTGATAACGAAATTTTTATTGCCTACACTCTAGAGAAGATAACACTCATGGTTATCTTCTTCCTTAAGAGACTGCAGGCTTTTCAACTTGAACTTTTCTGATACTTCTAGTGCTTATATCAAGCATGAGTTTTGTCTTTAGATGTGCTCTGTCGATTCTTCTTTTCTTCTCTCAGAAGAGACTAGTTTTTGGTTAGCTCAAACCATTGTTTTCCACGTACAAGAAAGCTTACGTTTATTTTAAACAAATATAAGTAGTTTTGTTCTCTGATAAACAACAAAAAGGTTCCTTACTACGGATGTTCGCTAAATTGTGCTGTTCAACACACAAGCAAGAGCAAATTGAACTCATAAGTCCCTTATTGTAAGCTAAACCGTCCAATAGTTGGCAGTTTATAACTTTCTATAACACTGAATTGACAATTTTGGTAAGTTTAGTTTCGTTCGTGGTTCTACGCATACTCCAAGAAACACCGAACAACTAACTAGCAAAGTAGGAATGATGTCCAAATCGTTCATCCAACCAATGGGATGTACGTGTTGAAGCTCTAAAAAAATTCTATATAAGAAACAAACTTCACAAAATACCTTTAGATTTTATTAAAGAATAAATGCCTTTAGGCTCCTGATACTTCTTCCTTAGTCTTTGATGCTGCCATGGTCGAAAGAAAAGTATTGTATCCAATCTGCACAGAGTTGATGTAAAGAATTCTCTGAGATGAAGGAACGAATCTAAAGTTGATCAAATGCGCAAGAGGCCAGACTCCCCAGTTGACTTTCATTGTTGGCCAGAGCTTCGTTTTTACTTCCTCTGTGACTTGGTCAGGGTGTCCTTCGACCGTTTTCATAAAAGAGAAGAATATAGAAGTAAATATTGGAGCCCAAAGAAGCTGATCTATCGCCGTCTTAGTGGCAACTGCAAGGCCCGATTTTGGAGCGTTGGTCATCACCGTCTAGAACGACGAATTAGATATTTGTTACAAAGAAACGAGGAAAATACCAACCCTATCCAAAAATTGATACCAATAATGTCCAATAGGACCGTGTATACATAAACCGAAAGCAGAAAACCGGGCAGTTCTCATGTAATCCCAAGGATTTCCTGACAACATATCTGGGGACTGGGCTATCAAATCTCCCAAAGTAAAACCAAAAAAGGACTACAATATCTTTCAAAAGAGTTGATGATCGAAATACTTTTTCCATACCGTTAAAGTTTTTACTTTCAGGGGGTTTGCAGTAAGTGCAGCATTATACCTTGCCCAAATACCTGCCATTTCTACGACCTCGCAGGACGCAATTGAAAAAAGAAATGGACGTTGGTCAAGTGTTGTAGACCACATGTGTTGTAGATTGGATAGAAGACTCTTTGATTGTAGAGTTATTATCCTTCCTATTGCGACTAGTTTATTTTTTCGTAGGCTTAAGCAGTGTCATATTCTTGAAATCTGTATTCAACCTTTACAGATATAGATCAGCTTCTGTCAATACCTCAAGGTTGAAGCACCACTGTCTTTTGCCAGTTGGTGAAGAAAAGAGATTCATCCTTTGGGCAATTTTGCACTCTTGGTGTTCAATATACGAAATACAAGGAATGAAAGAAAGATTTCTTGAAATAGTCTTTATTCCATGTCTCTTCTTTGCTTCTTATGCATTTATTTCTTCCCCTAAAAGAAACAGAATTTATGACCTTCTTGAACAGTTGTCCTTCTTTTTGTACAACAGAATCCTTGAAATCTTACAACGAAAGCTTCTCTTATTTCCATTGCAAGTTTTAATTGTGTGGAATCTGTACATTGAAGTGTAGGTCTGAGTTATGCTCGATCACTCATTAACGGAAATTTCCGTTACTGTCTCCTTGATTAATTAGTCCGACACATGTGGATTGATATGGCTTTTGGTAATCATGTCTTTATTCTCTTTAACTGTATTATTAGAGAATGAAACAGCCAGAGAGTGGCTGCTTTGTAGAACAGAGAATAGCATACAGCCTTCAACTATAGAGACAGCTTACGCACTCAAAGCAGAAGTTGAGGTGGAGGGCCACTCATTGTCTTTGGAGCTGCTAGTAAAGCCAATTGGAGTTGTTAACAGAATATTGATTGGCTATGTATGCTCTTCGTTCAATTTTCGTTATTGTAAACTGCTCACTCACTATAGGTATTAGGAGATCCCTACCAGTTTGCTCTTCCAAAGTTCTGGGGCCCCATGGTGCACCCAGCTTGTCGAAGGTTTATATTTGATTTGGAGAAGGGAGAATTTTTAGAGGTAAGAGACAGTCACAAATATTTTAGTCAAATGTTTACTTTTGTAGTTTCACTGGTATGTACACAATAACACGGTTCTGGTCAACTGGATGAAGGTCTGTATTTCACACTAGTCTTGGAATGAGGGCCTAACAGATATTCCCTAGTTCCCGACAGTTGACCACAGAATAAGATATTTTATTCTTTTTGAAGCCCCTGAAGTTGACAAGCTACCTCATAAACTACTACACAGTGTTGAAATTGTTACTGAAAGAACTATTGACGAAGATTGCTTATACTCAGAAGAAGATTTTCAATTTCCAGCACATATAGAGGAGGAGCTGAGTTCAGTACCCACTTTCCTTCACACACTTCAAAGTATGCTTGGAGTGTTTGGTGGAACTTGTCGTTGGTCCCGTTATGATCCAGACAGCCTTGACTGTTTGAGCGACTCGTTATATTCTTATTCCGTTGTGGTGAGAAACATAAAGTTTGCGGAGAATCTTAGAAAGAGAGAGTTGCAACGTTTTTGTCACTATTTTGCAGACACGTCCTTTGCCAGACCCAGTTGTAAAAGTAGCCGACTTGCGTTTCATGAAATTGACTCTTCCCGATATCCTATGGAAGATAGAAATTTAGTTCAATGTAATAATTTTTGTGGAGCGTCCAATACGGAGTGTGTAGTTTGTCAGTCAAGGCAAGAGGGTCGCAGGGTATGGGGTTGGACCAACTCGTGGAATTTCATACCAGGCGAATATTTAGCAGCACAAGAAGTGTTATCAACAAAGAGCAAAGAAGGAAATACGGAAGGCGAGCAAGATAGCACTTCTGCTATTTATTGCAGCACTTTTGGACATTCTTCACTTGCCGACTCCTATTCTTCCTGCTCTGGAATTCCTTCGGTAGGTTTTTTAACTATCTCATAATGAATGCCTGAACATTCTAGAACCTAACGTCATGCGAAGATATTCCGGTTGGCAACTTTGCAGACAACATGTATGGTCTGGAGTCCTTTCATTTTCTCGAAACTTATTTTGAATGCTCTGCTGAAGACGCCTACTCATCAGAAAGTCAGGAAGCAGATAAGGACATTCTTTTAAGCTATACACTGAACGATGACATTCAGACATCATATTTTGAAAATGAAATATCAGAATACCTCGAAGATCAATCCGAGTCCTTGTTTCAAGATGTTTAAACAGGATTGAATGGTATAGTGTACGTGTTTGGTGCAAACTCTGCCTGTTAGGAAATGTCAAATATTATGTATTCTGTAAATAAAATTTTTTTGTATATTAACTCGAACGACTTGGAAACGCTATAAGGCTTAATCTCGTGAGTTTATAATAACGTCCGCTCGAAACTTGCAATGTGAAATCATCTCTGCATTCCTACGATCATTATAAGAAACACGAAAGCTTGCCTCTCCTGGTGCCATTCCTGGGGAAAAAACATCAGTGAAATGAGCAACAAAACAAGTGTATCCTAACCGACTTCATTAACCATTCTTTCAAAGACTCGACTCATTGCTAGTGAAATGTCACAATCCAGGTACCATATTTCATCTAACATA